GGTTCTATGGACAGCAGTGTGGTGCCCCAACCTTGCGGTGCCCTTTACCTGACCGGCCAGGGAGAGTCCTTCCCTCTGGCGTGGTGGACACAGAAGGCTTTGAACTCTAGAGCAAGTAGCATCACTCTGGTCTTCACACTTTCAGGGTGGCTATGAAGTGCGTGAGTGCAGGAAATTGTGATTTGAGGGTTCCTGGCTGCGCTGGGCAGTGGAGCAGCACTGAGCGAGGCTGTGGCAGCCTCACCACAGTTGCCTGTTCCAACAGTGAATGCAGTTCTGGGACTTAGGTGACTGCCAGTTTGTGTATTGGCACTCTTGATGATGACTTTCTGCTGCACAATCCCCGTGCTCCAGGCTCTGTCACACACAGCGTGCCCCTGGGCTGCTCACACGTGGCTGCCGCCACCTGCATGACCCCATTAGTCCTAAGATACAGGCCTGAACGATTTTCAAGCTTTCCCCTGGCTCTGCTCCAGCGAACTTGCAGAGTTCCTCAGCCTCCCTTTCCTCGTACTGCCTTGCCTGAGCCTCCCTCTGCTCCTCGAGAGCCCTCTCCTCTGTGGCTGCAGCCATCTGCAGCCTCTCCGGGTCTCTGTGCTTCATCAGCTCCCATCTGGAGCTCATCTTGGTGCTCTTTCAGCATCTCCCTGATGTGCAGCCTCATCTGCACTCCAGAAGGAGAGAGGGACTGTGCTTCCCCTGGGATCCTGCTCCAAAACCCAGCGGGGGAGTGCAGATTGCCTCTGGCAGGCACGGGGGCACATTTGTCCTCCAGTTCTGATGTTTGGCTGAATATGAGCCAGCAGTGTGCCCAGGTGGCCAAGAAGGCCAATGGCATCCTGGCCTGTACCAGAAATAGTGTGACCAGCAGGAGTAGGGAAGTGATTGTGCCCCTGTACTCGGTGCTGGTGAGGTCGCACCTTGAATACTGTGTTCAGTTTTGGGCCCCTCACTACAAGAAAGATGTTGCGTTGATGGAACATGTCCAGAGGAGAGCAACCAAGCTGGTGAGGGGTCTGGAACACAAGTCATACGAGGAGC